TTATCAGGGATTCTGTGTTCTTGCTATGTTTTGTTGTTTGTTTTTATCAGGGATTCTGCGTTCTTGCTATGTTTTGTTATTTGTTTTTATCAGGGATTCTGTGTCCCAGCTGAGTTTGAGGATGAGGTAGCAGGAGAGGGAGCTACAGAGTTTGAGGACATTGAGGGAGGGGGTCTAGGTCAAGGTGAAGGGGTCAAGGACGTCAGTGATCAGATTGAAAATGAAGACCAGGTAAAGACCACCAGCCTTAATAAATACTTTAGTGAGCAGATTGAGGATTGAATCTGTTACTGTTACATTGTTACTATTTGGTTCCAAAATTGTGTTGAAAGTTTTGCTCAAATCTGGAGATTTCCTTTATATACGATATTTTGAAACAGCTTGATGAGGCCAGGAAAGCAGGAGAGGAGAGAAAAGAGGAAGATTCCTCCCAGCAGCCTGACATCAGGTCCGAGGAGAATGCCATAGAGATGTCTGATGACTTTGAGGGCAAAGTTCACGACCTTGAAGCTGCAGACCAAGAGGAAAGGTCAGATGAAGAGGATGATGGGAAGGAAGAGGAGCTGGATAGACAGATGGGAGAAGTGGACGGGAATGACACGGAGAAGTTAGACGACCAGATGTGGGGGAGTGATGAAGAGGAGGGAGAGGAGCAGGGGGTGAGTGCAGAAAGGTCAAATGATCATAACCTTGGTTTTATATACTAGAATAGTACTGTAATAAAAAGCACAGGATCTGCTTAATTGAGGTATTTGTCAATTTCAAAAGTTAAATTCTTATTTAAAAAGGAGAAAGAAGAATTTGGCCCTGGGTCCCAGCAGGAGCAGAAGAGTGAACTGGTTGCTAAGGAAGACAACCAAGACAAGACAGAAACAGACGACAAATCAGACAAGCAGAGGACAGATGAAAACGAGGCTGAGGAGAATGATGAAAACCAGAAACCACAGGAACTGGAACAGGTAGATGAGGTGAGTACTAATAAACCACAGGAACTGGAACAGGTAGATGAGGTGAGTACTAATAAACCACAGGAACTGGAACAGGTAGATGAAGTACATACTTGTACTAATGCTTCAAATGATTTATTGAGAATATACTACAATAGGCTTATAATTGTCTCTGTGTATTGTAGTCAGAATATGATGACGACAAAATCGACCCTAACCATGGTAACCAGGAACCCCAGCAGGCCCCTGACAACATGGATCTCCCTGACGACATGAAGCTGGATGAAGAAGAGGCTGGGGTCACAGAGGAAGACCAAGGTCAAGGTCTGTACAAAAAGTTGTAATATACAATCTTGCATTATGAATTTTATATGTGGAAAACCCCTAACAGGCTTATTTTAAAAGTCAAAACCTTTCAAAAGCCAATTTATGAAAAACTAAATAAGTATGTCCTCAAATACAACACCATACTTATTAACATAAGCAGAAGAGCCTCCATCAGAGCCCCCTGGTGGTGACACAGAGATGACAGAAACAGAGGACAAGGGGGATAATCAAGACATGGAAGAAACAGGGGAGGACACTCTTCCAGTAAGAACTTTAAGAAATTACAATATTTGTTTTTCTATAACACATGTACAAAAAATTTCATGATGCATTATGAAATCAAATTGAACCAATTTTTAGCTCTTCTGAGCCAAAGGCTCAAAGAGCTAATGCTATGGCCATTTGTGCAGTGTGCGTTAACTTTTTACAATTACATAACAAAGAACCCTTTGGTCAATCATCCAAATTTGCCACAGGGTATCCTTGGCCCAAGGGCTAGCATTTTTACTAAAATAATAAAACAAGGGGAGATAATCAGGAAAACAAAACCAAAAGTTTTGCTAAAAAATCTTCTTCTCCAGAACTGCCAGGCAGATTTTCACCAAACTTACATACAAGGATCAGGATATGTTGAAGATAAAAAATTGTTCAAGGCATTACCCTGGGGCAAAGGGCGTGGTCTCAAGGTCACTTTAAAGTTGACCTAAATTTACAATTAATAAAAATGTTTATATTTTGCTTACGATAAGGACTAGGATCATCAAATCTTGTAAGTTGATGCATCTTAGGACTTCACATCATGTTAATTCAAAAGTAGGTCACGGTGACCTACTTTTTAAATGCGGGCATTTGTTTTCAAATTGATTTGAAGGCATATTTTGGACACTTTAAGGCCTATGATCATGAAACTTAGTCAGTTTAATGTATTGGGTCCTTGAACAAATACTTATTTCAGGTCATGAAACTTCATGACTTATCCTTCTTAAAACATTTAATCCCATTATTTCAGGCACTGAAAGGATTAGAATCATCAAGTCTTGTAAGTTGCTGCATCTTGGGACCTTAAAACATATTTAACAAAAAGTAGGTCACTGTGACCTACTTTTAGAATTTTGCAGGCATATGTTTTCAAATTGTTTCAAAGGCATATTTTGATTCTTCAGACCTAAAATCATCAAACTTGGTCAGGAGATGCATCTTGGGACTCTGAAAAATGTCGACCAAAATGTAGGTCACGGTGACCTACTTTCGACATTTTATGGCTATATTTTAGTATCTTAGGTATTTATTGGCTTAGAATCATCAAACTATGTGAGTTGATGCATCTTAGGTTTTCGGAGAGTGACGACCAAAAATTAGGTCACGGTGACCTACTTTCGATATTTTATGGCTATATTTAAGTATCTCTGGTACTTATTGGCTTAGAATCATCAAACTTTGTCAGTTGATGCATCTTGGGTTTTCGCCAGAATGTGACCAAAAAGTAGGTCAAGATGACCTACTTTTGAATATCTCAGGTATTTATTGGCTTAGAATCATCAAACTTAGTCAGCAGATGCATCTTTGGACTCTGAAAAATGTCGACTAAAATATAGGTCATGGTGACCTACTTTCGACATTTTTTGGCTATATTTAGGTATCTCTGGTACTTACTGGCTTAGAATCATCAAACTTTGTCAGTTGATGCATCTTGGGTTTTCAGAGAATGTCAACCAAAAAGTAGGTCACAGTGACCTACTTTCGACATTTTATGGCTATATTTAAGTATCTTAGGTATTTATTGGCTTAGAATAATCAAACTGAGTCAGTTGATGCATTTTGGGTTTTCCAAGAATGTAGACCAAGAAGTAGTCCTAATTGGCTAAGAATCATCAAACTTTGTCAGGTGATGCAACTTTGGTCTAAGGATACTTAGGGTTAGAGGCTTCAAATACAAGTGATAGGTTGTACAACTTATCAGAAGAGCGATTCAAGGCCCTTGGGCCTCTTGTTGATATATTGCTGGAAAATCATGTTAAGTAAGAGAATATTTTTATACATTTCTACAATTACTTCAAAGATAATCAAAGTCAGATCATCCATTTAAGAAAGAATAAAAATAGCACAGTAGATATTTTAACCCAGTTTTGTATAATCATACTTGCCAACTCACCCGATTTCGTTGATTTTTCAACGCGTAACCTGATTATTTTTTATGACCTGGCAGGTCATGCTTATCACCTGATTTTTGCCAAACAACCCGAAAATCTCCCGATTTCCGGATTTGGTTCGTAAATTAGGTTGCACTTTTAACTTCCAGTTAAAACCCAAGCTTAGATCTACGCGTAAACAATGCCGATGGATTAATTATCAGTGCAGGTGTAAACAATTAACTGGGTGTTGTTTTGACAATTCAATGTTTGAAGTAAATTAAAATGGCTTCCGATAGAACTAGATCGTTATCAGGGCCAACAGGAACAAATTGAACCAAACACATGTCTCTGATTGAACCAAGAAAAAGAGAAACGATGTTTATGTACATATCGTGGAATCTTGGGGGGAAAAACTTTCAATCTAGATAAAATAAAGTGATCGAAGACTGTGTAGGCCTAACTTCACATTTAAAACATATTACAGTAGTTAATTCGGTAAGAGAGAGGAAAAATAACTTCAAAACTGAAATTGGTTTACTTTCAAATTTAGCAGAAACTGAAACATGTGAAAAGGCTTTTAAAAAAAAAATGCACACTTAAATACTTCTGAATCAGGTCAATATTGAAATATAAAACCTTCAATTCTCATTTTTAACATATAAATTAAATCAAATTATATATGAATTTTTTTGTCATAGTAAATTAAATCCTTTTTCAATAAAAGAATTCTCAATACACAAATACTTTCAATTGTATATATATTATAAAATTTAATCATGGTAATTATGTCGTGAATGTCGTTACACGTTATGACCAGATTTTTTACTTTCCAAATCTGGTCATGACCAGATTTTTACATGCTGGAGGTTGGCAAGTATGTATAATGTATCTTCGTAGGAAGTGGAACCAGAAATGTCAGAGGACCAGAATAACCAGACAGGAGAGGAACCAGACAAAGATCAAGGAACCAGGCAAGAGGAAGAAGGAGAGGAGGATCCAGGGTTTTCTTCTCAGGTACAAAACTAACTCAAAATATGTCATTTGATTTAATACACTAAATCAAATTAATATTGTATGATTTCCTAGTATTATGTTGTTGAAATAGTGAGTAGTTCAATGATCACGCGTATTTCAGAATGAACCAACAGATGTCAGTGCTGAAGATGAAGAAGACAGCTCTAGGAACAAGGATGACAAACCCCAGGCAGCAGAGAATTATGGGAAGACTTCCCATGATTCCCAGAATGTAGAGCAGTCAGAATCAGCCCAGGATCAGGGAGGGGAACCAGACAATGACCAGAAAGAGGTCAGACTTTATTGAGGCTGGGCAGCTTATTTCCAATGCAGATAGTTAATGATCTGAATTTCAGAAAATACTGATTTCAGTTCTATAACTTTCTTTATAATTATAAAACGTTAAAATATTATGGCAAAGATAAAATTTGCAAAATATGTTCCTGGTACAAATCTTCGTCTTTTATGGTTGAGTTGTAATACTAACTGGGATTTATACATCTACATGCATGTGGCAAACACCTTTAACTGTAATGTACATGTATTTACAGAGTGAAGGAACTGGAACCTCAAACTTAGAAGCTGAAGAGGGTCATGAAGGTCAAAGTTCAAAGGTTGCACCTTCATCCACCAATCAGTCTCAGAAGGTATTCTGGAATCAGTTTTCTTGTTCTTACATAAAAATACATGGTCTTTGAGTTTATGTATAATTAAGGAATTCTAAATCATACATTATTGTATTACAAGTAATATATATAAAGGCACAAATATCCAAGCCCAAATTTTTAATCCATGTAAGGCAGAAACATTTACCATTAGCAGAGTGTCCACCCATTACACATCCTATTGTAATTCTACTTGTAGTCTGTGAAGAGAAAGGCTGGTCAGTCCAATGAAGACAGAAGCTTGGGATCTAACGAGAACCAGTTTAAGAAGCTGAAGACCATTGAGGAGGCTTCTGCCAATGAGGAGGTAGTTAAAAGCTTTTCCTATGTAGATTGTAATACAAGTTTTGATTGGTTAACAAGTCAGGTGTAAATATCTGTAATGTAAGGAGCAGTGCAAAAAAAAATCAATAGATTATGTGTCATTAGAAGGGTGGTTACCTTGAATCATCTTTCATTCACATTGAAATTAGATTCATCTGTATTTTGTAGAGTGAGGAAAATCAAGATTCTACAGAAAAAGACTCAGAGCTGTATGAACATATTAAGGATGCGAAATCTTCCCATGATGCTCAGACACTAGATGTCGCCACTGATAAGCAGCAGATGGAGGAGGCTGTACCTAATAGAGAGGTGGATCCAGAGAATGAAGGGGTGGAGGAGGAGGTGATGATGGAAGAGGACAAAGAAGAGGTGAGTAAAGAAAACTTCTGTAGCACCTGTCAGAGTTTTGAGGTTTAAAGTGAAAAAGATAATGAAAATTACCTGTACGAATTAAGAAAGACCCCCCCCCCCCTCTTTCACACAAGCTTTTGTTCTGGATTTCAGCTAAGAAAGTTCAGGTATTGTGATATTTCATTATTATTAAATTTAATGTATAGTTTATAAGAAGTCCTGATCTTTCCACAGGAAATTGATGAAAATGTGGAAAAGCTATCATCTCACCTAAATACAAAAGACAAACATAGCAAGGAGAGGGAAGGAATGAGTGAAGTAGGGATGAATGAAAATCAGGAGGAGACAAAGAAGTATGAAACAGAGGGTGTTGTCAAGGAAACACTGGGGGCCTCAAGGGGACCGGAATCTACAATTCACACCACACTGGAGAATCTCCACCTAGAAGTCAGGGTAGGACAATAGTCAACATAATTATGTAGTCTTGTCACTCCTTCTGTAAATTCAGATATTTCTTCTAACTTATGTTAAAACCTGCTGAATATAAACAAAAAGATTTTTCACTCCTGCTGTAAATTCAGATATATTTTTTATTTTTAACTTTTACTGGAACCTGATGAACATAAAAGAGGTTTTCTGATGTATATTTTTCAGGGTTCTGACCTAGATATGGAGAAGCTTAGGTCTGAATTAGAGGAACAATTGTCTACCTTTACCAACACAGTTAATCACACAGCAGAGGCAGTGAGTTTTACTGATAAAATATAGATTCTGAATATATTCAATAGTGGAATCATTTGTTACAACACAACAATCTCTGGATTATTACATTGTACATTAATAATCTCTGGATTATTAAACTGCACATAATATTCCTGGGATTTATTTATATAATTATTAGTTGTAATATATAATTGACAGGAGGAGGCAGCATCAGAGGCGTGGCACCGATACGAAGCTCTGACATCAACTCTATCCCAGGAACTGTGTGAACAACTCAGGCTAGTGTTAGAGCCCTCACAGGCCACAAAACTCAGGTAAGGTCCCCTGAACTGTGTGAACAACTCAGGCTAGTGTTAGAGCCCTCACAGGCCACAAAACTCAAGTAAGGTCCCCTGAACTGTGTGAACAACTCAGGCTAGTGTTAAAGCCCTCACAGGCCACAAAACTCAGGTAAGGTCCCATGAACTGTGTGAACAACTCAGGCTAGTGTTAGAGCCCTCACAGGCCACAAAACTCAGGTAAGGTCCCATGAACTGTGTGAACAACTCAGGCTAGTGTTAGAGCCCTCACAGGCCACAAAACTCAGGTAAGGTCCCCTGAACTGTGTGAACAACTCAGGCTAGTGTTAGAGCCCTCACAGGCCACAAAACTCAGGTAAGGTCCCTAGAACTGTGTGAACAACTCAGGCTAGTGTTAGAGCCCTCACAGGCCACAAAACTCAGGTAAGGTCCCCTGAACTGTGTGAACAACTCAGGCTAGTGTTAGAGCCAGCCCTCACAGGCCACAAAACTCAGGTAAAGTCCCCTGAACTGTGTGAACGACTCAGGCTAGTGTCTTTCCTTAGGTCACAAACCAAAAAAAAGTGGAGCCAGAAATTACTGTTACTAATGTGACTTATATATTTTAAATTGAAATTTCTTATATCCTTGCACTCTGTAATTTTATTCTTAATTTTCATGAAAAATGTGTAATCCAGAAAAGTTGGAAAGCAAAACATACACACAATATATTGTCAGTCCGTGCAGTTGTGGTAAGCAGAATGTGACGATTGAACGCACCCGGTGAATTCTAAATATAAACAATAACAGAACTCGAGCCCTGTTTACAAAAACTGTGTACATAACACGAGTGTGCTCGATTTGCTAAACTATGTATGCATCTCTTAGTTCGGAATGACGATACTTGTGAAGGTGTTTTGCTTTCTAACATTTCTACTCTGAATAAAATTATTTTTCTTGATAAAAGTTTTAATCTTTCTCATTTAAACACATCAAAATTGCCACTTTTCCTAAGGATTAAGATTAAAGTTAAAATTTGTGAAAGTGCAAGGATGTGTCAATCAAACCCGCCAAAAAATTTAAAGTTTTAATAACTTTTAAATGAAATAAGATTTTTAATTAATTTTTGTGTGAAATGCTATTAAAATATATAATTTGTGATATTATACAGAAAAAATGAGAAAATATTAACTTCAAATCTGTGTCCAAGTACCTTTAATTCAGATTTATCTATAAAAGTTACTTTAAGTGTTTTGTGGGAGACTTAATATAAATAACAGTATTATAATCAGATTTATTTATATAAGTTATACATGATGTGTTTTAGTGGAGAATTAAATACCAAGTTATGATAGTAAATGAAAAAGTTCCCTTGTGTGTTTCAGGGGAGACTACCGGACTGGGAAGAGATTAAACATGAGGAAAGTTATTCCATACATCGCCAGTCAGTTCAGGAAAGACAAAATCTGGCTCCGTCGTACCAAGCCCAGCAAACGACAGTACCAGATCATGCTGGCTATAGACGACTCCTCAAGTATGGTGGACAACCACTCCAAACAGGTCAGTCATAAAAACCGAGGAAGGTAGGTCAAGATACAGACAGAAACGTAAACATTTAAATCAAACAAAAAGTCCAGGATAAACAAAGGGAAAAAACACAAAAGTAAGGATTAGATTTATAGAATGGCAACAAAATGATGGGGAAAATACATTTTTGTGGATGATTTTTAATCTGTAAATGTCAAAAGAAATATCAGTCAGTTTTACAGATTTATTTTCTTTTAACAGTTGGCTTTTGAGTCCTTGGCGTTGATTTCTAATGCTCTGACTTTGTTAGAGGCAGGGGATTTGAGTATCTGCAGGTATGTTATACATCAATGTAAAAGTAAGTTTCTGTTAATGGGAATTTTAAAAAAAAGATTGTAGTATGGCAAGTTCATTTTTTAATAAGCAAAAATTATATCCACAGTTTTGGAGAGTCTGTACAAGTCCTTCACCCATTCACTGAGCAGTTCACAAGTCACTCAGGTTCCAGATTGTTACAGCAGTTTACATTTGAACAGAAGAAAACCAAGGTAGCTCAGGTAGGACTGAAGAGATGTTAGTACATGTGCACCAAATGTAGCCATTGATAAATGTTATAATAACAGGTCTGTGTACGACAGCATACTTACTCTGTGTCTATTCTGTTTTCAGCTTTTGAAGAAAGCCACATCAGTGATGCTGGACGCTCGCTCCCGACAGCGGGGAATGCTGGGTAATCCCGAGACGTCACAGTTACTGCTGATCGTGTCTGATGGGCGGGGCTTGTTTAACGAGGGAATGGAGACGGTGAGATCGGCCGTCAGACAGGCGCGGGAGGCCGGAGTCTTCCTGGTGTTTGTTATCATTGATGTCCGTCCGTCCGTCCGTCCGTCCGTCTGTCACACTTTTCTTCCCTGAACTCCTCCTACATTTTACACAGTAGCTTAATCATCTTTTGGGAGATGGTTTGTGGGGTCATGTAGATGTGCAGTAAGGTTTTGGAATTTCGATTTTGCCCCGGGGGGTCAAATGGGGGTCGAAAAATGACGTTTTTAGTCCAAAAAGCCCCGTCTTCCCTGAACTCCTTCTACATTTTACTCAGTAGCCTAACCAGGTTTTGGGAGATGGTTGGTGGGGTCATGTAGATGTGCAGTAAGGTTTTGGAATTTTGATTTTGCCCCAGGGGGTCAAATGGGGGTCGAAAAATGACGTTTTTGTCCAAAAAGCCCCCTCTTCCCTGAACTCCTTCTACATTTTACTCAGTAGCCTAACCAGCTTTTGGGAGATGGTTGGTGGGGTCATGTAGATGTGCAGTAAGCTTTCGGAATTTTGATTTTGCCCCAGGGGGTCAAATGGGGGTCGAAAAATGACGTTTTTTAAGCAAAAAGCTCCGTCTTCCCTGAACTCCTCTTACATTTTACTCAGTAGCCTAATCATCTTTTGGGAGATGGTTGGTGGGGTCATGTAGATGTGCAGTACGGTTTTGGAATTTCGATTTTGCCCCGGGGGGTCAAATGGGGGATAAAAATTATGTTTTTTGTCCAAAAAGCTCCGTCTTCCCTGAACTCCTTCTACATTTTATTCAGCAGCCTAATCATATTTTAGGAGATGGTTGGTGGGGTCATGCAGATGTGCAGGTAGGTTTCAGAGTTTTGATTTTGCCCCGGGGAGTCAAATAAAGGTCGAAAAATGATGTTTTTTATGGAAAAAGCCCCATCTTCCCTGAACTCCTCTTACATTTTATTCAGCATCCTAATCATCTTTGGGAGATGGTTGGTTGGGTCATGTAGATTGCAGTTAGGTTTTGGAATTTTGATTTTGCCCCGGGGAGTCAAATAAAGGTCGAAAAATGATGTTTTTTATGGAAAAAGCCCAGTCTTCCCTAAACTCCTTTTTTGTTTTAAACAGTGGTCTTATCATCTTTTGGGAGAGTTCACTCTTTTGAAATTTTGTTAAAACATCAAGGTCAAGGGGTAAAAAATCATAGCATGTTGGGAGCCTCTTGTTATGGGTAATGTTCACTTGAAATGTGAAAGTCAAATCTCTTCTCAATGAAAAGGAAATACAACATTAATGAAAACTAAGTTAAACTTCAAGGTCAAGGTCACAGAGTCAAAAAGTCATGATACATTTTGGAAGGTCTTATCACAGGTAATATGAATGCCCTTTCATTTATCTTTCAAAATGATCAATTCAAAGCAATTAATTTTTTAAGGAAATTAGGTCAAACTTCAAGATCATGGGTAATGAAAATCATAGTGTATGTAGAATGGTATTGTCCCATTTAATACTAATACACATGTTTAATATAAAAGTCCTATTTCTTCTCATTCAAAATATACGACCATGATGACCAAGGTTAAATTTATTGTGACAGATGGGCAGATTGACAAACAAATGAGATTTAATGTACCCTACCTTTAGCAAAAATGGGGACAATAAATGTCTTTGCTGTTCTTGAGAAGAAGATTTATGTTGGAACAAGATGTGTTTGTGAAACACTACACGCCCGGCGGCAACAAAGTTAAAAAAATCTTCTTTTAGCATATTGATCACAGTCAAGGTCACAAGGTCATTGACCATGGTGTCATTCGAAAGAACTTAATCAGTGGAGTATGCGTACTAAATATGAAGTCCCTATCTCCTATGGTTCAAAAGTTGTGGCAAAAAGTGTAAAGAGCTATTTTTAGCATATCCGTCACAGTCAAGGTCACAAGATCATTGACCTTGCCGTCGTTTGAGAGGACTTTATCGGTGGAGTATGCATATCAAATATGAAGTCCCTATCTCCTATGGTTCAAAAGTTATGACAAACAGTGGAAAAAGCTATTTTTAGAATATAGGTCACAGTCAAGGTCACAAAGTCATTGACCATGGTGTCATTTGAAAGAACTTAATCGGTGGAGTATGAATACCAAATATGAAGTCCTTATCTCTGATGGTTTAAAAGTTATGGTAAAAAGTGTAAAAAGCTATTTTTAGCATATAGGTCACAGTCAAAGTCACAAGATCATTGACCTTGATGTCATTTGAAAGGACTCTATTAGTGGAGTATGCATACCAAATATGAAGTCCCTATCTCCTATGGTTCAAAAGTTATGACAAACAGTGGAAAAAGCTATTTTTAGCATATAAGTCTTAGTCAAGGTCACAAGGTCATTGACCTTGAAGTCATTTGAAAGGACTTTATTAGTGGAGTATGCTTACCAAATATGAAGTCTCTATCCCTTATTGTTCAAAAGTTATGGCCAAGGTTAAAGTTGACAAACAGACAAACAGATAAACAGACAAACAGACAAACAGACAGGACAAAAACAATATACGCCCGGGATCTATCGATCCGGGCGCTTAAAAAGTACCCTGCATATTTAAATGTAAATTGGTTGAAATTAGCCCAGTGGTTCTTAAGAAGTTAATGTGAAAAGTTTGCAGATAAACAGATGGACAACAGAAATCAGTACATTTCAGAAAACAGTATGCTTATAAATAGTTAATCAAGGTGCTTTGGGTAGCAAAATAAAGCTACACTGGTAAATCTAATTCATCCGCAGAGCTTAGTATATTTCAATATGCACAACCTTTTCAACTCTTATGATTATTTTTTAAAATTTATATCACCATGTCTCATTCAAGGGAGAACTAGAGATATGACCAGATGTATATCTGTTGAATATAAAATATGTACATGTATTCTGTGTTTTTTTTAATAATTTGTTTGTTTGTTGTGACAGCAACTGTTATGGCAGCTTTTGGCAAAGGTTGAAGTTTCTCAAATGTAAGTCAAACTCCAAGGTCAAGGTCAAAGGGTCTAAATTGTTGGTATCAAAGGGAAAGTCTTGTCACAAGGAATACAAATGTGAAAAAAGGGAGAAATCCCTAGAACTTCCTCACCTGTTCAAAAGTTATTGCCAAGGTTAAAGTTAAAATTGGATTCAACTCTAAGGTCTAGGTCAAAAATAATTATACCTGTTGAAAGTTCACAATGATTACACATGTAAGAGCATGAAAGTCCTAGCACCACCTGTTCAAAACTTACGCCAAGTTCAAGGTATTTTTCTTGTAAAATTGGGTCAAACTCCAAGGTCAAGAGATCAAGAGGTCAAAATTGGTGGTACCCATTAAAAGGTTTTGCCAAAAGAAATTTACCTATGAAATATTGAAGCCATGTGTATAGCCCAATCCACTTAAAAAATATGGGCAAGGTTAAAGTTTCCGTGGACAAACAAAAATACATAAACATAGGAAACAAAATATGTATAAATAGTCAAATGAAAAAATGTTCTACTATTATGGAGTCAGAAGATCAATTGTCATTTCAGGTACAGGGAGTCTGTGGCTAGGGAGATCAGACCCCCCCCCCCTGGAATTAGCAGTTATTCAAATAAGACTATATATGTACTGCAGAGAATAAAAATGACTTTGGACATCCCCCCCCTTAGAAAACAGGGACTCCACCATCATTGTTTTTATTATTATTTTTTATTTCCATCTCAGGAAATCTTGGGCTGATTTTTTTGACTGAGGTGTGACACCCCCCCCCCCCCCTTTCTGAAAAAAAATTCTGGATCTGCGTCTGTTATATACTGAATGTCCGCAACGGGAGATAACTTGACAATGTGAAATTTGTCGACTGTGGCATGCGATGATCTTTGACCATGTTGACCCTTTTTGAACTTCAACCTAACCATTTGCATTTATTTATTTTTATGCAATCTATACTAAATCTTGTACTTACCGAATGTCATAGGTCGTGACAACGAATTCATGAAATATAATCCATATAATCCAATTAAAACACAAATGATTTTAAATGACCACACTGCATCGTCAGCATACAATGTACATGTGCTAAATAATCTCATTCGACAAACCTTTGCTGATTCCGTTGCCAGTATGAATTGGCCGAGGTGTGCCGAGAGGTGATATCTATAAATATGATAATGGGTGACGCAAACCCAATGTGAATGTAAAAAATAAAACTGTTTAGTACAAGAACAAATTTCAAACTATCATAATAAACTAAACTATGTTTTTTAAAAAAAGTGAGAATGAGAGAGAGAGAGAGTGTGTGTGTGTGTGTGTGGGGGGGGGGAGATAGGCATTGACAAATTAATCGGGTTGTATTTTCAATGGGTTTTTTTCCGACCAAATACTAAAATCAGTTTGCACATTTTGATAAATTCATCAAAAACGCTTTGTACTAAAATAATATTTTATGTCGTTGAGAAAGTAAATTTACAAAGTTCCAAATTATGGGAAAATTATTTATTTGAATCTAATTAAGTAATTAACTTCAATCATTAATTAAATTCTGTTATTTCAGACTGGTTATGAATTAAGTATTTTAAAATACATATGTGAGGCTCAGAGTTGATATGGTCATCTGAAAATTTTATGTTCAATTTGACGAATACATGTACGGTGATAATTATAGAATTATTTTGACTTCTTCCTTGCAGGCGCGTAGCCAGGCGTACGTTTGTACGCACAAACGTCCACATCATTTTCAAAAAAAAAGGGAAAAAGAAAGAAAGAAAGGAGAGGAAAGCGAGACAGGAATAATATTGTAAAGCGTACTCATAATATTGGCAAAATATTAGTAAATTATAATTTCAGAAATAATAAAAATTAAAAGATTTTCTCGGATTTTGGTTTACTATCGAATATTGATGATTTTTTCCAAAGTGTAATTACATTCTTAAAGAGTTTCTCTACTGTAAATGTCGCATACTACAATGTATAAGCCCAGTCGGTTCCCAGTCGATAATTTTATTTCATGCCAAAAATTTCAATATTTAGTAATGGAAATTAACTTCCAACCGCAATGCTTAACTTCTGTAACGATAACTACCCCCTCCCGCCCCCCAATTTAACCTAAAATCAGATTAAGGCGAGACTTCAAAAATCATAATTTAACTTTATATATGAACATAACAAATTGAAAAATTAGTAAAAATTCAATTTAGCCTTAAAAAAAATAATAAGGCCTGTTTAAGTATTGACATCCTACGTTAAAACCAGTAGTAGATTTCGTGGTCTGTCTAAACTATGCAGTCAACCACTCTCACCAACTATATATCGTATGTTACCATACGTATTTTGTCGAGCTTCAAAAGTCTAAAATCGTTTTAGTGGGTTCGCTTTTCGACAGATCTTTCCTCATTTTTAAGGTTAATGTCCGCATTTTGTGCAAGGGAAGAACAGACCTTAAATCTGGCTGCGTAACAAACCGAAAAAAAGATAAGAAAAATGCTATCAGGTCAAACATGCAGGTCAAACAAAAATTCACCAGCTTCCGGGAGCTTCGCCCCGTGGCCCCCCACCAGGGCTTCGCCTTGGACCCCAAATCCCCAGCCTATCCAGGCGTCCACATGAAATGTACCCTGGCTACGCCCCTGCCTTGGAAAGTCCAATATGAATGAGTGTATATTTAGAGGCAAACACCATAGTGCGGGTATTACTGTCTCATGACAGCATCTAGTTGATAATATGAGTTTGTCATACATGTATTACTTTTAAATATTAAATATCAGATGCTTCCAATTCCAGGATTCCATATTAGACATTAAAGTCCCAGTTTTCAGAAGCGGAAGTCAGGTAAGAACTCTACAAATCAGAGAAGGATTTAATAAGAAGTAATTAATAGCAAGCTTGTATGCTCTTTATGTCACTATATTTGCAAGTAACTTTGTGATTTGGTCCCTCAAACTCTTGTTGATGATGTTTTCCTGAAAGTTATTTCTTTAAAAGAATTTTGTTAATATCATTTCCTATAAAAAGGGAGAGGACAGATAATGTTTTTAAAAAATTGTATTCAATCCAAATATCTTTTAGTTATTATAAAATAAAATATGTTGAGACACATCAAGGGGAGAACTGCAAAAGTTGTTAGATCTGAAATGATAATAAATTATGTTTGTTCATTTTACTGACTTTGATGACAAGCATGTTCAAGAATATGGTGATGTAGATTTAAGACATGCATTTCATCTGTATTTGTCAATTTCAGCTTCCAGAAATCAAGCCCTACATGGATTACTTCCCTTTTCCTTTCTACATCATACTGCGAGACATTAACTCCCTTCCTAATGTGTTGTGTGACGCCTTAAGACAATGGTTTGAACTTGTGACGGCAGTGGATGTTTGATTTATTCTGTGTAGATACTGTGAAATACCTTTGTTTAAAGCTGTAACAGGTGCTTATTTCTGTGTAGATGTCATTTGATGCCGTGTGACAATGGTTGATCTTGTAAAAGCTATGGATGATTATTGCTGTGTAGATGGATGTGCTGTGGTTTGAGAAGGAACTTGCGAGGAAATACAATGTATACATTGTATTTCCAATACAATGATAATACAATATGTGTGCAATACCATGTGAGATGGAAATAATGTGATTAGAGTTTTGAAAAAAAAGTGAACAAACCACGCATACAATTTATTGAATTGATCTATTATAACAATGGTTACTATCCTTTTAAATATTTTGTTTCTAGTGAAACATTATACCAGGTCATACACTAGATAAATATTCTTTTTCACATTTCAAAACTCGTTGATGATGTTAATGTATGCTCCCAAGTGATGAGAGAGCTGAAAAATTAGTAACTTTATAACTTTCGAACAAGAAGTGTTTTTACGAGCCATTTTTGTTGTAAACAATAAACCATTGTATAGTTGTTAACCCAGCATTTTGATTGATCTTTTTACAAGACCAGTAAGACGCTTGTAAAATTTACTACAATATGGTCTGACAAAGTAACAGTTGATAAAAATGTCAAATCGTATATGTGAAAAGGGGAGGATTAAACAAAGTCATTTCACTATGTGTGATTTTTTAGCTCTACTGGTCAGAGACCAGAAGAGCTTATGCAATAGTTATGCGTCTGTCGTCCGTCTGTCCGTCTGTCTGTTTGTAAACAATTTTTTCAAAATGCTACTCCTCCTACAGTTTTGGTCCGATTTTAAAATAACTTAGAACACAAGTAGACTACACTACGATACATAATTCTGTGCATTGGTTTTTGATTTCAATGAACGGTGTTGCCGAGGCTACTAAAAATAGAAATTTCTGTGAAATTTTTCAAAATGCAACTCCTCCTACAATTTTGGTTTGATTTCAATATAATTTGGCACACATAGTCAAGTAGACTACACTAAGATACATGATTCTGTGCATCGGTTTTTGATTTCGATGAACGGTGTTGCCGTGGTTACTAAAATAGAAAATTGTGTGAAATTGTTTCAAAATGCTACTTCTCCTACAGTGTTGGTTCGATTTCAATATAACTTGGCACCCAAGTAGACTTCACTAAGATACATAATTATATACATCGGTTTTCATTTTGATGAGTGACAATGATAAATTTTCTATTTATTGCTGATTTAGAGTCTCAGGTCCCAACTGCTACTTTTCTCTTCCTTTGTTTTAAGTATAAACCAGTAGAGCTACAGTCTCGAGAGATACTGTAGGTTAGTTTATCAATTAAAAGTATGCCATGAGACACATGATTCAAATTGTCCTTTGTTTGAGGGATGTTAATGTTTCTTTGGTTAATGTTGAAATTAAGTTGTTAAGCCTCTAAATACTGAAAAATAAAGTATGCGAGAAAAAGTTTTTTTTATCTTTATATCATTATATAAAATTGGATATTATACATGTACAGTCATTGACTGAGTTCGAGGGCAACATGCATTTTGTTTGACCAAAGAACCAAGCTGTTTGGTTCATGTGTTGACAAAACAGTTTGCCAGAGAACAGAAAGTATAATGACTAACATTAAAAGTTTTGTCAAGTTTGAAGAGCGGTTTCCTGAGCAGTTAGGAACAGAGGGGTGAAAATTTATTTAGATGGGAGGTAAATGCTACTTAAGCTAATTTTCACTGCAAATGCTGAATGGAAATTGATATAGAGAATTATTATCAGAAAAACAAACAAAATCAAGTTTTGTATTTGATTCAGTCAATAAATTTTGGACAGTTTTATGTTCTCTTGACTTGCAAAAATTCCAATTATTTGAGGGGGGGGGGGTTTGAAGTATTTTGCAAACATGTTTTGTTATCAAAGGTTTACTCTGGCATATATGACTTCTTCTACTTCTTTTTTGATTGAATAATATGTTGACAGCGAGAGAGTTTTTGTTAACAACTTGTTTTAAATTGGCTCTTTGTTTTCATTTTGAATATAAAGCAAAACAAAAGTTAATATGTATGTTGCTGATATTCTTAAAACAAAGTCTTTAATTTACCATTTTGTTCCGACCTATTGTGATTCGAAATGTACGTATGGACGACAACCCCTCTTGCAATATAATATTTAATGACTTTAACGTATAACCATATCTTTGTGACAACATGTTACTTCAGTTTTGCATGGAGGAATATTGGCAGGACTGTGATTTGGAGATGCTTTAATCTGTTCTGCTGAGAGGAATCCACATCAGGGAGTAAGTTTATAACATACTCCCCAAAAATTGCCCTGAGAAATTATTTTACTACAGGGCATGATAAACATCTAAGATAAAATTTAAAATTAAACATTTTAAGCGTATATTATAAGGTGTTCTTAATGTTTAAAATTTTGTTAGTAAACAATCATTGTAAGAGGGGGTTAAAATGAATCTCATTTTATTTCAAATCTCTATTTGGAAACTTTAATTTTAAAACTACATCGCATAAAGAATTTCTCTCTTCTTGGATAAGTTAAAGGTGTGATCTTTTTGCTATTTGATTTTTTCAGGTTTCTTTACAGGTTTGTTTAATTAGAAATATATTATGATGTAGACCATCATTTTGTTAGTAAACAAACAGGCATTGTAGGAGTAGCTTGAACTTAAGCTCATCCAACATTTTATTACTTTACTTTATTTGGAAACTTAAACTGCATTGCATAAAAATTTTCTCACTTTTGTAATACTAGTAAGTGAGGTGTGATGATCGTTTTGATATTTAATTTTTTCTTCAGGTTGAATATGAAATAATTTATATTGTAGACAGTCTTCTGGCAATGTAGACAATAATTCACTTAACCTGTGTACATGGCAGAGTCTGTTGTCTGTATGTATGTTGTACATGGATCTCTCTACACCAGACACACTCACTCTGCGCTCTCTGCTCCTACAACAGATGTTAGAGAGCTACAGGGAAGCACTGAGTAGGTCAAGGTCAAAATTTCTTCTGCTTGACGACATTAAAGGTCACCTTGAGCTGGTACAGGGGGTCATGGGACAGGTGGTCAACAGTGTAAAGAGTCTGGTGCTGGAGAAATACAGAAATATTGATAATGGTAAGCAATGAATATGTCTTCCAACTTTTCTCAGTAATTGTTGTGAATTGCAGAACAAATAGAAAAACAGCAATCAGACTTCAGAAAGGAAAAAAAAGGATCAATAATGATGTTTTTTTGAATTTTTCTTTTCTTCAGCTGATGTCATGCAGTACTATATGGACCCCCGTCATTGTCCCCAGGTTCTGAGGTCTGTCTGTGGGGGAGACAGCTATGTGTGGGCTGTGAACCTCTACACTCTGGTGTCTCACGTCAGTAGGGTTTTATCACTGGGGGCTCCACAGGGGGACACACTGAAAAAGTTCTTAGAGGGTAGGTCAATATCTATCAGGCAATTTAGTACTTTGCTTCTATGAAATTTTAATGAATGTAAGAATGTCACACAGTACTGTACAATGTATTTGTGGTGCCCATTATCTCAAGTTGAAAGAAAAAGAGTGATTTTGTTTGTGAATTTGTTTGTAGAAGGGAGCAAGGAGAGTTTTGATGTAGATTATCAAACCCTTGAGAATCTGATGATTGACATAATACAGACAGATAAAATCCTACAACAATTCAGCTTCCTAGGTAAAGACAAGGATTTCCAAGACATAATAAAGGTATGTTTCTGAGTTTTCACTCCTCTTGACCCATACAACTATTTAAAATGTTGAAATCACTAATTCAATTCCCAATTTTCAAAACATTCATGACAATTTAAGTATCTATAGAAAGCTGGATTTTCATTAAGATAAAAATATTATTGGTTGCTAGGTAATGGATAAGATCTGCTGGGTTGCTAGAATGAGGGAGTCCTTGGTTACCTACACACAGGATCATGACCTTAACAAGGTCATTCTGTTTTACTCCTGGGTCAAGGACAAACTACTGCCTGTAATGGGTGAGAGGTAAAGATCTAAGTCAAGTAATGGGATATTCCTGTACTAGATTCATTACAGTGGCATGTCAGTACTTGGTTCAATTCATTGAAAAAAAAATAGTCAAAACTGAAAAGAAGTCCATAATTTTTGTCAAATTCATTGAAATCAATTTTTTTAATGACCAAAAAAAAAAAGAATTATAAAATTTTTCTCTGTGCTTTGATAATTGTTGATTTTGGCATTTCCACTGAAAACTTATGATTATACTAGTATTCTTCAACAGTGAGATGGACAACTACAGAGATTATGTGATATTCATAAAACACATTTTCTCCCTTAGGTTTATGGAGTGTTTCCCACATCTGTACCAGGCTGGTGAAGTTCTGCTGTCAGGATATGAGGAGACAGATTGTTACATCAGGTTCTGGAACTCCCATGGTCACCCACCTCCTTACAGAACCCAGAGTGAGGCTGAGAACTGCTTGACCCTAAGTGACCTCTGTAAACTGTCTGATGTCCATAGAGAGGCTGCTGACCTCATTATGAAATACAAAATCCAGTTAAACCTTGGCAGGAGGAGTGAACTTGTGTCATTAGTAATGAATGCAGGGACTGAAGTGAAAGCTGAAATTCCATATGGTATGAATAAAACATGCCTTCAACCAAAAAATAAATCTTTTTTATAAGATGGGGATTCTCTTATAACTGTTAGCTAAGTTTCTGAAGTGACATTGCTTTCTGTTTTGTCTATTCTCCTTTAATTTGAACCTCATGATTTTGTTTTTGTTTGCATTACCTATTGCAATATTTGAATTGATAAACTTCCAGGCAATAACACAGAGACCATCAGAAAGGTTAGAATACTCCTTCAGCAATATAACCTAACACAAGAGGAAATAAAGGCAGTGGACAATGCAATGGAAATGGACCAATCAGAATACAACAATCATTTGTCTCTGTGCAGCCAATCAACATCTGGGAAGCATGTTGACCTTTGGCCTCTTCATGATCACATGTTTGTTCTCTCTGAACTGAAGCTAGTCAATGAAATGTTGACATCATTAGAATGTACTGCTTCATCAGAGATAGGGGCATTAGTTAACTATGGAAGCCAGTTTACACCTTTGTCACTGATGGTTTTAGCAAAACTGAAAGCAAAGTGTGAAGACAAAAGTCAGGTAATTTTAGTGTTTTATTATTGAACTGAGGCCAACTTCAATGTGATGAGTAAATTGATGTTAAATACACAGGAAAGATCTAAGTAAAGTAATAGTGTATACAGTGTACTTTAAAAAGCAGGCTTCATATTTTAGTTGCTTAGGCACAGAAAGCAATGTGCTATTAAATTTATGAAATCAATACACTGTGTCTCTAACAAATCTTTTACATATATACAATACACTGAATGGACATGTAGCGCTAATTCAGGATGACAACAACAATTCCAAACCCAGTGATTACGCTAAATTTTGAAAAGTTACGCCAAATTATGTACAGTACACGTACAGTAATTTAGAGAACTTGCTATTGGACATACAAAAATGTTATCATAATGATATGCAAATTTTAAGACATTAATTTACAGGAAGCTGTCAGTAACACTTTGTGTGATATACTTTGTGATCTGTACCAACAATTGTGGACCAACACGTCCGCTAAGGGACTTAACTGGTGGTTAAACTGGTCTCCATCCCCTCAGAGCACGACATCAAGTATAAGTATTGAAAGGACCAGAGAAAATTGGGTAAGGTTGGATTTAGTCTTAGATACTAAAATTAACTTGATAGCTTTGACCCTGGTCTATTAATTAGGGATTTATCTAGCTATTTTGTTTTACTACCGTTTAATATGTAAAGGGGAAAATTGAAAGCCGCAGGCTATCTGAGTGCCAGAGGCTGGTTTATCCGGGGGCAAGCCCCCCAAGAAAATTTTTAAATAAATGGAGCAAAATTCTCCATTCAAAAAGCTTCTGAGGGTCATTTGTAGACCTTCACAAAAGCCACAAAAACTTCACTTTTTAGACAAAATAAAAAAAAAATTAAACCAGGTCAGTACTTTATTTCATTTTTTTTGCTGAATATCTATCACAAATTAATTCTGTTTTTCATGTTTCACTACTGATATTGTTTTTGTTGTTACTCCATTCTTCCAATTCATAGTGATATAAGCTCCATCCTACTCATCTACATTTTCTTTTTAACTCTGCAATCGCATAGTTACATATCTTTTGACGTCATGGACTTGGCACATGTTTACCAATCAATATCAAATAAAAGCTTGAATAATATAATTCTTTCTTTTAAAAGCATTTAAATGACTAGGATGGTAAATTAGGATATGCTGTTAAACTTCAATCAGACAAAAATGGAAAATTTCAGAACGATGTTTTAAATATTTTCCGTTTAATCAGAGAATTTTCTATCTGAAAAAGGGGAATTTTTGCACCTTTTTCTTGAGGGGAAAACACTGGTAGTAAAAACAGCCTTGATAAATCCATGTAATAAGCTACTTTTAATACATGTACGTACATGACATTGTTTAATATTTGACAGCTGTAGAGCAACATTGAATGTTCAAATGCTCATTGACAATTAGTATTCTAAGCAAATCAAAACAAACTGGCCAATTTTATAACAGTGAAGAGAACAAAAAAATTTTACATGTGTATTGTACAATTTAAAATATTATGGTTGTTTGGGGAAAAACACTATGATACATAATAATATTTGATAATATTAATATTACAAACTCTGTAATTTCATATTGCAAAGATTATTGATAACGATCAAATGCTGTGGAGATATAGGTGAACTTCCTTGTGTGTCACAACATAGTTATCTGGCTTGTTATTTGTGTAGTATTTGTCTCAAATATAGATATAAGCAATCAACAACAAGACTGTTATTATAAAACAATTATCAATGGATTAAATCTGGGATTTGAATATGTTTTCAACTAAATTCATTTTCCAGTGAACCTTTGTTCATTTCTCCATTAAATTAACACTAATTAGCATAAACATAATACAGTAAATAAGATATCATTTTTCTGTTTTCTGTAAATACTTGTACACAGAGACAGTAGAACTTCTCCCCCCGACCCACAGATTGTGTTGATCATCAACACAGAGAGCACGGGGACGTGGAGGACATTGTTGTGGTGTGAGTAGGATAGACAGAAACTGACCATTAATGTCCAGCAGGTGGACACTAAAAGTGTCATTAGACATATTATAGCCATTACACACAAAATGTTTCCCAGGACATCTGTACAGATTCCATAAGGACGGAATCCATGATGAGACTGGTGACCAGAGTAAGAGAAGCGGTACTCTCCTGAGGCTGTCACCACCACAACCTTATTGGCATTAGAGTCAGATGTGCAGATATCACCATTAATGTTCTCGGTGATGTAATCTATACTTTGGTAGATATTTTGTCCTTTATCATCCCGCCGTATGTCCTGTAACTTTCTTCCTTCTCTGCTGTATCTGGTTATTTTATAGACTAGATTTCTCTCCATCACAACCAGTATGTGTCCATTGATAGGAGAGGAGAAGATGGCTCCAGGTTCCCAGCTTTCTGTCTCAATGAATTTGTTGATGGACATGTCACTAGTTACTCTGTATACAATTTGTCTATTGTTATCTGTGTAAAGCAGTTCTCCCTCTGTTGTTACTGTGTGGTTACCTTGGAAATTTAAAAAAGTGATATATATTTTATGAAAGATGTTTTCTTCCATGTCATACTGAATGATATTCATAAGATCACTGGACCAGAATTTGTTTGGGGGTAAGTGAGACAAATGAGACAATAGTTCTGTCTGGATAGTTTTTTCACTTACTTTTGTGACAGAGGAAAGTTTAAACCGTTCTGATAAATCTAGTTCAATTTCACAAAACTGCTTGGCTATTTCTTGTTTATTAAGTGTACCTAATGTTAAAATTGGCAGTTTGGCTTCAGATTTGCTAGGCATCTTAAGGGTAGCTAATGAAATATCTAATTGGAATTTCATGAGTTCGGTATGTTTTATTGAAGACATTTTACTCTCATAATCTGCAATCATTTTTTCAAGGTACTTTATGTAGTCCTCTGTTTCCTTCTTTTGTTCCATCATTTCGGTTAGGATAGAGTTCTCAATCTCATCTAACTTTTTATTATTATCAGCTAGTATATTATCAACAACCTCTTTCAGTTCATCTGCTCTATTTTTCATCGAAAACCTAAACGTGGCAATTTCTCTCTTGGCATTTTCTCTCTTTTTCCCAATTGATTCAATATTATTTTTAGCTTCAGGAATGTCTGTTTTCCAGATGTCAGTAATTTGTTTCTGACATTGCTGTAGCATGTCATTGTAGATTGTTTCAAGGTCACTTATATCATGATTTCTGTAATGTTGGGCAAAGCATGTAGAACAAAGAGGATCCTGGCAAACTTTACAGTAAACACTTATATCCTGTGTGGGGTGGATCCTGCATTTTTCAGAAGGAAGTTTTCTTTTTCTCTCCTGATAGAAGACAATCTCATGTCCACTGTTCTGCTCTAGATGGCGCTGTTTGCATTCATCACATATTCGCTGATGACAGGTGTTGCAGTAAAACACAGAAAAGTTCCTACATAATCCCGTGTCACACTCAATAAAGTGCTGGGCTGTATCTGGTACCTGGTCCATTGTTGTTGTTTCAAACTCTTAAAAATAGTTATTATCAGAGTGTAGGTAATGAAGACACTCTAGGTAGAGGTATGAGTGTGTAATACTATTAGCTTTCAACATACTCAACACTTACTAATTTAGAAGTATTACTTTCTCTGTTGTCTAGTAGATAAATTTCTTTCACAATACTTCAAATCGTGATACGTATTGGCCATTTGTTATGTATGATGTGTATCCAGGTAAAATGTAATTTACTTCCTGCTATTAACAAAAACACATTGTGGCAATGGAATCGTAAATAGCTGAGGTGATCTGAATGACAAAACATTTAAATCTCTATGCAGTCTTTGCATCAGTGCAGAAATTGAATGATAAGAGAATAAATGGGCTAGACTAGCAAACAGTAACTGTAATTTAAAAAAAACAAAAGAGCAAAGATGTTAAACAATACTGGCTCTTTAAAAATGTTTATAATTTAAACATTTAAAGAATTGGTTTATCAATAAAATATTGACCTTGATTGTGCTGATGTACTCTAAGGAATTCCTGCACTTTAGTAAGAAACAGCATTAAGTTGCTTCCATTGAAAACAGTGATGCAGTGGTTAGAGCAACTGCTCTAGAATGGTGAAGTAAGGAGTTGATCCTTATGTCGTTGATTTGAATCCCACTGTAGAACGTGGAGACTGGTCCTTTGGATTAGACCATATAAACCGAGTTTCCATGTAACCCTCACTGCTCAATGGCCCCTAATAGCTGCAGAACTGAAGTTCTCTGCTTGCATGCTCTACCTGAAGTGAGGAAGAAAAAAATCAGTGTAAATCAGAAGTTTTTACAACACATGGATCTGTAGCTCCCTGCTTTACCTGTCTGAATTTTCTCAAGCACAGAGCTACAGTTCTGCAGCTATGACCTGAGTAAAGGAGAAAATTTGCATCTCTCCACCAACAAGTGGTGGTGACTTTATATGAGTGAAAAATTTTTGAAAAACACACGCATGATTGCATTACCATATCTCTTCCGGCTCCGTTTGTAGGATATAATTATGACAAAAAAATCTAAATAATATTAAATGTATTTATATGTTCTCTTGTTGTTGTCTAATGTTTAAACCAAATGTGATGAGAATTAAGAACAGGAAAAAACTAAAAGGACTATATCCACAGACATTTGACTAAGTACTTGGCACAGCACAATTCTCAGTAACAAAGGAATCATAATTTAATATATTATTGCTTGTGTGCTCTTGTTCAATTCATATGAAGTAATACTGTTTAATTGCTGGCTACATGTCAAAAAAAATTGATTAATGTCATCAAATTAAATATGTTTTAGAGTCCAGAAAGTCTTCATAAGTCAGTACTAAGTCAGACTGCCTACCACCTGATGTGTGGAGAATCTGAGGAAACACTAAAGCCATCACAGGACAGACATCTCACTATTCATGTTTCCCTGAGAGACTTAAAATCAAGGCTACACAAATTACAGATCCTGTCACAGCACATCTGGTCTCAAGGTTAAATGTTGTGTAAAGGGAATCTCAAAACTAGGTAAGTTTTAATTATGTGTTGTGTGTATTCACAAGCTTCAGGAATTTATTGAAAGTCAATAAATTAAATAATTTGTATGACAAATATTAATAATATACAAAGTCATTGTGTTGTCCTTTTAGGAAATTGTTGAGACAGCACAATGTCCAAGTGTTTGTATCAATACTTCACTCCAGTCTGGCAATGTTTAAAACAAAGGAATCAGGATAAATACAAACAGAGTGTGTCTGAGTTCATCAACTGCCTCCTAAACAAAGATACCTCTCATACGGACAGTGAACAAATAATCCAAACTATAACAGACCTCTTGCATGGAGTTATGGGTCCTGATCTATTTATAGTCAGGGAGTGTTTGAGTGGAATCCTTGCCGTTTGTGATAATGAGGCTGATATGAGAACAGTAGGGAGACAGTGGGTGTATGTAGGTCTACTGGGCATGCTCCTCCACAAACCAAGGTCACCTGTTGATCCTGTGGTCAAAACACAGATCAAACTACAGCTTAAACAAAGGGAGGTAAGATGAAGTACAGAAAATGTTTACATTAAGAAATTAATGTAAAAATGTTTTTGCTCTTGATTTTTTTTTCCTGTTGCAAAATTGAATAAACTGAAAATAATTTTCAAGTAAATTTATATAAATCAAAAATAAATAAAAAATAAATTAATAGTTAAATAATTTTTATATCAGCTGGAGGAGATCAATACAGATATTGAGGTCAAGGTCATTCATCACAGACAAATGACAGGTCTACATCTGCTGGACACGCCCTCCCATCTACAACATCCTTTGATCCTCCACTTGATTGACAGGAGGGAGAAGTTACAGAGACAGATAGAGGCTTTACGGTCCCAGCAGGCCTACAGACCAAGTACCTGTCAGGTTAGTGGCTTGATATTTCAGGATTAATGTGATGGCTATATGTTAATGACAATAGAATTGTTAGCATACAGATTTATCAGTGGCATAGCCAGGTCAATTTTTGTCTTGCATACGATCGCAATTTTTTTGTGTGAACTTGCAGATATATCACATGAATATCTCAGTAAAATTCAATTGTTTCACCCATTTTCAAAGGACAAATAAAATGCCCTTTTGACAAAACATTTTGGGCAATATGTGTGTAAATTTTATCAGTTTCTCTGTCAGTTGTCTTTCTTGACTTTGAAAGTCATTGCTCTCTTGCAGTACAAACAACTTTTGAATATGATAAGAGACTTTGTCAGTACCAAAGGATCTACCACTCACACAATTCAGCTGATGGAAAAATTATTAACAATTTGTAAAACTGGAGAAATATCCAATGAGATTGCAGAAGAGAGAACCTGGCAGAAAACTCTCCAGCGATTGGTCAGTTCCCTGGAGGAGGAGTTCCCTCTGTACAGAGACATCACCACACCCTTCATAGTCGCCCTCCAGCAGGTGAGTGATTATAAAGTTACAGGTTGTTTTTTTATGCCCCCCCCCTCCCCGAGTCCACAATGTGGGCTGTTTGCTCTTTCTTTTAAATTTCAAATGATTTTACAAGTTAGATATGTTCTCATGTTAAAAGACATTTCAGCATTTTAACTGTAAAGAAAACATGAGACCTTTTTTGTTTCAGGTGAGATGTGGGATGAGGCTTATAGCCGGTTGTGCAACAGAAGCAAACAATGCACAACAATTGACAGACAGACTGAAAGTGACCAGTCAGGTAGAAGCACTTCTAATGATGGAATAAGTTTGAATTACAAATTAAAAATTGGGTTCAGTTTTCACCTAGTAGTTATTGAGAATTTCTCAGAAATATAAATTTATAAATATATATTTTGCTCTCAAGGTCCATGAGACAGTTGGTCACATCAGGGAAGCAGCTCATCTGTTGGTAAAGTTCCCGTTCATTTCATCAGATGTATTCAGCAGTTGGAAGCTAGCTCAGAAAATCCTGTTAGTAGAGAGACTGGTGTCTGGTTGTAGGGGTCAGGTGGAGGAGAACGGGACAGAGCAAACTTCAAGGTAAATGTGTAGTTATTTGTTTTCTGCCTTTATAGAAAAGTGTTGAATTTTCATTGGTTGAGGAGAGGACTATAATATTATATAAATGGTGCCTGTTTTGTAGGGTAACATTTGTAATTGACACCCCAAGGAAAACCATTGTCAACCGACGCGTCAGCGGAGGTTGACAATGGTTTTTTGTCAATTTCAAATGTTACCCTACAAAACAGGCACAATTTATTTTATTATACTTAATGTCTTATTGATTTAGGACGTCAAAAAAAAAACGTCGATCGTCTTTACGCTCATGTATAGAAAGCTTTCACACTCACCGGTTCACTAATCTCCTTATTGTTTGTTTGATACTCGAATTCGAGTCATTTATCAGGTTATAAGGTTCGTTATTTCTGGCTCGCAAGCATGTTTCCTACACTGGCAAAGCATGTATCGTCTGTCGTTTGTTGTTTTCAAGTAAGCTTTATCGCAAGCAAGCTTTTATTGACGTCAAGATAATTCCGGTTCTTTCAAACGCGCAACTGACGTTTTGAGAATTCTACGGTGAACCGTACGCGCATAATTTCCACGCATGTGGCATTACCGTTGTGTTACCCGTTGTCACGTATGTTGCTAAGGCTCAGGGTAATCGAACGGATTGTTACCTGCGTCTAAACCAATCAGATTTTAGTATTTAACATGAAAGTATAATAAATTAAACTATATCATGCTGGTTCTAATATGTTACGTTCTATCCCTTCCTCTTTCAGACTTTACCTTGGTGCATTGTTTTTACTGCGAAACTCAGCTATTATGAGAAAGGAATTGAACAGAGAGATTCTGATGTCATTGCACCAAATCTTCAATCGTTTTATGTTGTCATGGAAACAGCAGGAGGAGATACGACGTCAGAAAGAGGCTGAGGAGGGTCTGTATAAATACAAGACAAAACTCCACGGCGACGACAGAGACATCGACGTGATAGAGGAGGAGGAATTCAGACAGAACTTTCCTTCCTTTCAGCAGGTTAGTCAGGGTGGCCTGGACTGAGGTTGAAATTTGTCTTCAAAATACAAAAAAAAATTCATGAAAGAAAATAAGATTTTTAACATGTAGATCAGTGTGTCATTGTACAGAACTATATTGTAATAGGTGTCTACAAAATGTGAAAGGTTTGAGATTTTGTTATCTTAAAATATGTAAAATGTGTATTCAATCCTACTGAATTTTTGCTATGTGTATTTCTTTTGGTAGGATTTCCAAGACTTGATAACACCCTCCTCTCTGGAAGATACTGGTTTATCTGAGCCCTCGGAACCGGAAATAGAGGACACACCCAATAGAGTGACTGACAGAGAAGTGACAGCTGTAAGCCACACCCACCAGCTACTGTTCTCAAGTCTGTCCTCCTCTGATTGGTTAAAGCAAAGTCATGTGACAGAGGTCATGACCCAGGATATCACAGAGCCCTCATTGTTGTGCTATAGCATTGCTGCACCTTTGTGTAGAGGGCAGTGGAACTGTAAGTTTAATCTTATGTTAAAAAAACAATAGAGACACTTGGAAACCTATTAAGTAAGAACAGATTTCATCTCAATAAGTGATACAAACAATTACATACTTTTTTCGTAATTTCATTTTTTCTCTCCTCGACAGTGTCAGAAGTAGAAAGGCAGACATTAGGAAGCCACCTGGTGGCCAGTCAGACACTACAAGAGGAGATAACTCCTGTATATGATAATCAGGCTGAGAAATCATCACCTCAGGGTTATGATGTTTACCGTGACCCAAACTTGTCAGAGGTCATTCAGTGTGTCCCTATACTACAGAGACTGATGGTCAGAGTAAGAGAACTTCAACAGGAGTGGCCAGACCACCCAACACTAATACAGGTAATATCATCCAACACTTATACAGGTAATACCATCCAACACTAATACAGGTAATATCATCCAACACTTATACAGGTAATATCATCCAACAATAATACAAGTAACATCATCCAACACTAATAAAGGTAACAATAACATCATCCAACACTTACACAGGTAACATCATCCAACACTAATACAGGTAATATCATCCAACACTTATACAGGTAACATCATCCAACACTAATACAGGTAATATCATCCAACACTAATACAGGTAACATCATCCAACACTTATACAGGTAATATCATCCAACACTAATTCAGGTAACATCATCCAACACTAATACAGGTAACATCATCCAACACTTATACAGGTAACATCACCCAACACTAATACAGGTAATATCACCCAACACTAATACAGGTAACAACACCCAACACTAATACATGTAATATCATCCAACACTAATACAGGTAACATCGCCTAACACTAATACAGGTAATATCATCCAACACTTATTCAGGTAATATCATCAACACTTATACAGGTAACATCATCAACACTAATACAGGTAACTAATACAGGTAATATCATCCAACACTAATACAAGTAATATCATCCAACACATATACAGGTAACATCACCCAACACTAATACAGGTAACATCACCCAACACTAATACAGGTAACATCATCCAACACTTATACAGGTAATATCATCCAACACTAATACAGGTAACATCACCCAACACTAATACAGGTAACATCACCCAACACTAATACAGGTAACATCATCCAACACTTATTCAGGTAATATCATCAACACTTATACAGGTAACATCATCAACACTAATACAGGTAACATCACCCAACACTAATACAGGTAATATCATCCAACACTAATACAGGTAACAACACCCAACACTAATACAGGTAATATCATCCAACACTTATACAGGTAACATCATCCAACACTAATACAGGTAATATCATCCAACACTTATACAGGTAATATCATCCAACACTAATACAGGTAATATCATCCAACACTTATACAGGTAACATCATCCAACACTAATACAGGTAATATCATCCAACACTTATACAGGTAATATCATCCAACACTAATACAAGTAACATCACCCAACACTAATACAGGTAATATCATCCAACATTTATTCAGGTAATATCATCCAACAGTTATACAGTTAATATCATCCAACAGTTATACAGGTAATATCATCCAACACTTATTCAGGTAATATCATCCAACATTTATACAGTTAATATCATCCAACAGTTATACAGTTAATATCATCCAACACTAATACAGGTAATATCATCCAACACTTATACAGGTAATATCATCCAACACATATACAGGTAATATCATCCAACACTAATACAAGTAATATCATCCAACACATATACAGGTAATATCATCCAACACTTATACAGGTAATATCATCCAACACTTATACAGGTAATATCATCCAACACTAATACAGGTAACATCATCCAACACTAATACAGGTAATATCATCCAACACTTATACAGGTAATATCATCCAACACTAATACAAGTAACATCACCCAACACTAATACAGGTAATATCATCCAACACTTATACAGGTAATATCATCCAACACTTATACAGGTAATATCATCCAACACTAATACAGGTAATATCATCCAACACTTATACAGGTAATATCATCCAACACTTATACAGGTAATATCATCCAACACTTATACAGGTAATATCATCCAACACTTATACAGGTAATATCATCCAACACTTATACAAGTAACATCACCCAACACTAATACAGGTAATATCATCCAACACTTATTCAGGTAATATCATCCAACACTAATACAGGTAACATCATCCAACACATATACAGGTAATATCATCCAACACTTATACAGGTAATATCATCCAACACTTATACAGGTAACAATAACATCATCCAACACTAATACAGGTAACATAACCCAACACTAATACAGGTAACATCACCCAACACTTATATAGGTAACATCATCCAACACTTATACAGGTAATATCATCAATCCGGATTTCTGGCTTCCGGATATCTGAAGGTCCACTGTATTTTTACGCAAGAAAGGCTGGCCCTTAGGAAGCCATTTCAGTTGGGGGAGCTATATTTTTTTTCAGTTGTACATGTAGGCACTTTCAATCACCAAATTTTCCTTGACAAGCGAAACAATTTTTCACGGCCACGAACGGTCACTATTTATTATTCAATTTCCTCCGTGAATGGCTTATAAACTTGATATAAGCTTTTCAAATTTCGATGCGATTGTCTTATCCAATGATGAACTATAATGTACAACATACCTTAATGCTTTTTGTCTGAGGCGATGCTGTTAATTAAGTAAATATTATACCGCTCTAATCTGACTTTCTTTCGATGAAATATTTACTTAGGCAGACCATTTTTTCCTAGTTGTTACATTCAGAACATACAAAACATATCCCAAAATAACATTTGACTCGTACCTTCGCCTGCCCCCACACTAACTCCTTTGAAAAATTTGGGGGATGGTTCAGCCAGAAAAAATAAATAAATTTACCTTAAAAAAGGGGGGTTGTCGAAACTCGAATCCAATTTCGCCGTTGGGCAGAAAGGGGGGTGGGTAGGTTCAAACTTCTTTTAGTAACAAATTTTCTTAAACAACCATAAAACACTGCCTTATTCTTTAGCCATATAGTGCACAAATTTGACTATACTACAACAAAGAGTGGGTATTTGTGTGTGTGGTGGTGGTGGTGAGAGGGGGGGGGGCTTTCTATGCAAACACCACCCCTACCCCCGTTGCTACTTGCTGCGATTTTAATGATCAATATTTTCTTTAAAAGAAGAAAATTTTTTGTTTCTTTATTAATTACTTTCCGTAGGGTCATGTAAGGATTATGATATAAAGTCTTATCTCGATTTCAACGGAACTTTAAGAAATTAATGTCAAGATATGCGGGGTATTTTGATACATGTATCAAAGTTAAAGATTTCAACGCAAAATGTGGTTTATTTATTTCATATCAAGAATTCAAGAGTCGTTTATATAATAATATTTCACGCTCATTAAAGTTTTTAGAGATTTTAAAAATGTTCATAACTTTTTGAAATTATAATTTGTTACATACTTTTTGCTCTTTCGGTGAATGTATTCTCAAGAGATGTAGGCATATATATGATATCCGGAAATTTGTACGTCTCTTTGCTTAATCTTAGTTTTATTTGTCCTTTTGGTTCCTCATTCATATTATCATTGTCGATGTAATATTGTTCATTTCTTCAACATTGGGTATAATGCTTTTGGGAAAAGTCTACAGTAGCTGTATTTAATTTCTTAACATATTGCAAAATAGGCTCCAGTTGATTTTCATTCAATCATTTCATCGGAACAATTTCGGAAATTTGAAACAAAAATAATTACTACCATGCAATTCCTTTGAATGTATTTTTTTTATCATTTTAGATTAGTATTTGAAACAAAATTTAATTTATCAAAATTGTGACATCCCTATCATCCGTATTTTTCCCCTTATCATTCTCCATTACTGTTAATTTAGTAAAAGGTAATTTATTAATACTAAAAGTAAGTTATTTACTGTTGATGTAGGTTTGGATCTCCCATGTTACCAGTATTTTGATTATGTTTCTTAGCTTAACATTGACCGGTCTTTTATCCGGAGATTTTGGTTTGGCTTGTCTTCTTCCCCCCCCCCCCCCTTTTAAAAAAAAATTAAAATCGACAGTTCATCGAAGGCTGGCTATCGGGGTACATCAGTGTAATTATCTATGGATTAAAATAAAAATGACTAAATACATTCTGTATGTTTTACATTATTACATTATGATAAAACATATCTTTTCAGGGAAAAAGTAGCTCTTATAAAAACGGTAATTACTATATGTGCATAGACCTCTCGCTCGCTCTTCTCTCTCTCTCTCTCTCTCTCTTTGACAAAAGTATACTAGTCTAGTACATGGAATATACCTTTGATATTGAGACTTCTTAACATGAATTCAAATTAAAGTATTTGTAAATTGCCCAGAAAAAAAAAAAAAAACAGCATCTTCAATTTAGTCATACATAGACATCGTTTTAATCGCTGTTCCATAGCTAGCAATTTGTGCATGTCAAATGTCCCGTATATCAGCATCAAGTTAAATATTTAAACAAAATTATGAATAAATTTACGTACTAAATTGTAGTCATATCATATACCTATTAAAAAAATGTCCGCATCAAGCTTCAAATTTTTGTTACACTTTGAAATTAAAT